TGCTTAGCAACCAAAATGTTGGCTCAGAAACTCTGGCATTTGAAGCACGCAAGTCTTAAAGCTGTCAAATTACAAGACCCTTGCACCCCTAACCCTTTAGAAAAAAAAAACCCCAGGGGTGTTCAAACTTGACAGCTTTATGACTTGTGGACTTCAACTCCCAGAATCCTCCTCTGGCTCTTTGTCTTGATGATATGCCGAAAGAGGGGGAGGGAGCTGGAACCAGTTCTAAAAGGCACTGTAGATTTGTGGAACCTCTTCTATAGAAGAGGTTAGAACTGGCAGGAACCCACACACACACACTCAGTATGTATATTGGTGCTTTTATTTTAACTTTTTTCAAATAGCGTGATATGAAGAATGTAGAGATCATCAGGCAGAGAAGGGGCAAGCAAGTGACCTCCACAGGCACACACTGCTTCCGTCGTGACAGAAATGGAGCACCCCTTTCCGCTGCCCCCTCCCACCCATACATGCTGCTGAATGGGGCATCCTGGGACATCCGCACCGTGAATGGGACCGACAAACAGTGAATCTGACAATCTGTACCAGAGATGGGAAAAATGGGTGGCCTCTGAAACATTATGAAATTTTACAGGGTGTGTGTTAAAGGAGCCTATGGGTATCTTACAGAGAATCATGAAATGCATAATAACCTTCTGAAGGATCCTTGGTGCTCTCAGCTTGGTGGTTTCCTTGCAGACATTCTGCATGTAACATCACCAGTGCAAACAAAAATCTTAGATAAAAGTTTCATTTTGGACACTGTGGGAACTAAGGAGGCCACATGTTGAAGGAAAACAAAATAAAACAAAATAGGGTGCACAATCAACTTACCAAACGAGAAAAGGGCGCCTTGGCAATAAGTAGACTAGTACTTTTTTGATACTTTCTGATCTCCAGCATGGCTCGCTGGCCAGGCCTGTATCTCCGCCTTCTCCGTGGAGCTGCTGATAGGACATAAAGGGGGTGGGGTGTTTAACAAAGAGAGGATGATCCCCAAGAGGAAGAGAGGTTTCAGTTCAGTAGTTCCCAACTTTGATGGCTTGAAATTCTGGGAATTGAAGTCCGTGCGTTTTAAAGTCGCCATGATGGAGAACAGCTGCCTTAGCAGGCCCAAAATTCCCAGGTATTTATATGGATCAGCTTCCCCCTATGCCATCATAATCTCCAGGCAGTACAGGTAGTCCTTGCCTTATAACAGTTCATTTCGTGACCGTTCAAAGTTGCAACAGCTCTGAAAATAGGGACCCATTACAACAATTAATCCATGGAACAACTTGCCTCCAGAAGTTGTGAATGCTCCAACAGTGGAAGTTTTTAAGAGATTGGATAATCAACCATGTGTCTGAAGTGGTGTAGGGTTTCCTGCCTAGGCAGGCGGTTGGACTAGTGTTTTTCAACCTTTTTTGTGCAAATCCCTTTTTTGGGATTGCGCATGGGCGAGGAAAATGGCTGCCGGGCTTTTCGCTCGGCTTCTGCATCAAGACTAAATTTTAAAAAAGAGTCTGTATTTACACTTGGGGAGCCAACCCAAAGGAGGAACGAGTGTCCGAATATCCAGCGACCTAGGATTGGCAGCGGGAACGGAGAATTCAATCAATCCGGGCTGCCAGTCCGGAAAAACGCCGAGCTCCGGAGAAACGCCGATCCTCGGAACCGCCGAGCTCCGGAAGACACGGAGGCGCTGAGACACTGTTGGCTGCTGATTTATTGTTGGTTGCGGGCGCGGGGGCTGGCAGCAGTAACGGAGAATTACACCACTCCAGGCTGCCAGTCCGAGAAGCCACCAAACAGCTGTTGAGCTCAGGGAGAAGTTTTCGGAGGAAA